TCTGCTTAACTCGGTACTTCGTTTAGTTACGCATTATTGCTATGATTTTGTAACTTTAAAAATTAAACTTTAATCCTCTTTTTTGCATTTGTATGTGTAAAGTAAAGGGTAATGAGTGTGGATCCGGTGGCTTACCTTGAAACGAGTTTTTTGCTGCATATAGTCCAAGACACTACGCATTGCACATCGTTCTATGTTGCCAGATTGTGAGTTATTTTGGAATTATTTTCAGTAGAAACAAATATGTGCTTTTCAGTGTTTTTGTCAATATATACCATTATGATCAGAAAAACGGCGTCGGATTGTCTGGGAAATGACGATTGAGGACATTTCCATAAAATGACAGCGATCTTCATTTCATAGTCATTACTTTGACGCTATTTTTTTTTTTCAATCATGGTACACTTGGTATATTATTTTAATATTTCGCACAACACGTGAAACGTGAACACTTATTATGTATTTTCCAGTCCAATAAAATTCATATAGAAGCCAAAACTCTAGATTCCTATCTAGATTATTATGCTACGTTTAAAAGTTTTTATTAAAATTCAGGATGTGTCCAAATTTTTTTTTTCTCTTTTTTTTTAATTTTTAAATGCTGTAGCTCCATGTCATGTTCATAATAGATTTTTTTAACATTCCATCAAAACTACGGAGGCCTTAAAGAACCTTTTAGCCTCAATAATTAAAATTGTAAATCAATTCAACAACATTAACAATTACCTTGTTTAATTCTGCTTATACATATATTGCATTAATTTTTTTTTTTTGTTTTTTTTTCTATACTTACTTACTACACCTAATTTATGTGATTTTCTTAGCATATATGATTTATAAAACCATATTTTCCTAATGGAAGGATGAATAGGATATGCAAAGATTAAGATATTTTAACATTTTATTTTCCATACCAAGCATAATATAGTATTAAGATGAAGACATAACAAATATTATAAGAAAGATCTTAATAAATCACAAACTAAGTCTTAATTTAGTCTTGTATTTCTATTATTATTATTATTCTTATAAACTAATAAGATCAAAACTCAACCTTCACCATATTGTCAAGATTTGGCATTATAGGAAACAAGAAATTACAGTAAATTAAGAAAAGAATAACAAAGTACACGATATTAAATACTGTAATGTATTTTACGATACAAACCATCTCCCTTCTAAAGATAAAAGATAAAACATAAAGCTTATTTTAGTCTTATCAACACACTCTTCGATAAAATCCACTAACTTGATATCTATGTTGATATTTTTAAGAAATTATGATAAACATTAATTATAATCGAAGTATATTATATTAGTAATATTATATAATAGGTAAAATGTTACCTCTATCTCCGATTGACGTTTATTGTTCTATAATAAGACCCGTCATGGTAGTACTTCAAAACATCAATATATGCATATAATCAAAATATTGTTGCCTGTAAATAACTAGAAATTAAATAACTTGAAAGAAATAAAATAATTCTAATAAGTTTAAACCATTAAGAAAAAATCCGTAAATGATAAATTTTAATTTAATGTAAACATATAAATAAATGTTATTATTAATACAATATTATATAATATAATACTTTCATTTCACAATCTTCATTATTCCTCTTACCTTAATTTTGATATCAAGATAAATCTGAAATTATAGAATTTGTATTATTATTGATTAACACGCCAAAAAATTTTCAACTGCAAATAATTCGAAATAAACTGCAATTTGGCAACATCGACGATGTGCGCTTGGGTAGTATCGATGATCAAAAGCAGCAAATATGGGCTACAAGGTCAGCCACCGGATCCCACACACCTTTACCAAAGTGTTCCTAGTGCTCAATAACATTGTTATTTCGTGTTTCTTTTCTAGACTGAGATAAAATTAAATTTTCAGGGATGGTAAAAAATTGACGTAAAAACTAATTTTACGTGTATAAACTGTATCTTTTTACGAGGTGGTTTTTTTACGTTTTATAAAAACATAATACATAAATAAACGTTAGAACATTGCGTCTACAGATTAGTAAATCTTCTTTAACACATTTAAATGAACATTTTGTAAATTTATATTTATATGGTGTTATTTCAGAGTCTACTATGACACGTTTTTTTCAATAATACTGTATTCTAAATTATTATTGTGTTGTGTGCCCAAAGAATAAAATACTATATAATTAATAAGAAAAATATTAGGTGCTGAAATTGAGGAAAGATGCAGAGATAGAATTAAGAGAACAGTTGAAGAGACAGTCACAGGCCTTCAATGATCATTTGAACGAAGCGATCAAGACGCGTGAAGAAGAAATAGAGAGGATTTTGACCAGGAGATTCGACGAACAATTAGAGGAAGAAAGGTGCAAGTTCAAAATGCAGGTAGCCACTATGGTAGGAAGGTTGCACGGCCTAGACGAATCAATTAAAGGTAAGGGCACACTTAAAAACGGGTTATTTTGATCATATATCGAAGTTTTGGGCGGTATATAGAATGACCTATAACTCCTCTTTTAGTCTCTATGTATTTTAGTTCATTTTTAGTTCAAAAGCAAATTGTATTTTCTGCCATTTTTTGAATGTCATCTGCCGAAATTTTCCTGACGTTGGAGAGACTATAGTGTTTTTTTATCTAAAGATAAACGGGTATTTAACGGACTGAAAATATAAAGGTTTTTTCGCAAAAAATGTAGAAATATTTTTTTTTTTTCTTTAAAATGGTCTGCATATTTTAGAATCATTTTTAGGCCTGTACAGTCTGACAAATGGATCTGAAACAACGGGGCAACGGTGAGGGGATCGCAATTTTCTAAAATCATGACCGATTTCATTCATAAAAATATCCACGAAAGCGTGCGGTGTTTCATAAAAATATATCAGGAATTTTTATAATATTTTCCAGTAAAGTTTATAATATTATTTACTTTAAATGCTCATTATTTTGTTTAGTCATTTGCCAAATATAGTAATATTTGTTAAACGCGTGTACTTATTACAATAAACACAAATCAAGTTAAAGATATAAAACACACAGTAACACCGGCACTGGATTTTTCAATAGTAGTGACTGTTTCTACTATTCCTAGAGAGGGGCATAGAGTTGTGGGTAATGGCGGCAAGACGTGCGACCAATCAGACTGGTTGAATCCGGGATGCCATGATGAATTTTGTCATCGTTGCCAGCTTACCCTAAGCGGACATTATCTTAAGGAAATACTTTACCTTTTATAATAGGCAGAATGAACGAAAACTGTTAATTAGATAAATATACATTATTACAATAAGAACTACGTAAACATATTAGCATATATATAATTATAAAGTGCTGAAATGAACTAAAATATATTCAATTTATAGGTAATATCGAGCAACTTTGCTCTTCTATAATTAAACGTGACAACATCTACTTTTTTTGTCCGAATTCCTTCCGCTGTTTTAGATTCGTTTGTCAGATAATAGGTTTGTTTAAAATATTCTCAGGATATTTACTTACTACATTCTTAATTTAACCTTATTTTGAGAACTGCAAAAGGTAGCGAACATTTGAGAACCACTGAAAAAATATAAACTTTCTTAACACCTCAAATAATTCACCTGTTGTCCAAAAAGTATCGTTATGCATGTTTGTATAATTTAAAATTTGTTTTAGAACTGCAGGTTCATCTAAAGTTTTCTCAGGATTTTTCCTTAACCTTGTACTAATTTTGTGCAACGTTGTCAGTTCGTACATGACGTACGTTTTTAATTATTGCCCTTATTACGTGAAAATGTTGAGAACTGTCGAAAAACTGGAAACATTTTGTTTGGGAGTCGCAAAAAAATGTGGAAATTTTGTATTGTCTCTTGATTTTTCTATTTTAGAAAAAAAAACTTTTTAGAACTGCAGATATGTCTGAAATATGCTCAGACTATTATCTACTTGACCCGTGTAGTTAGAGCGCGCAACGTTGCCACTTCCTACATAACCTTAATTCTTAATTGTCGCTAATAACATTTTGAGAACCGCCGAGAAAAAACCAAACATTTTGATGGTCGCCGAAAAAAATTGTTATATCCGATTTCAAAGGAATCATGATGTATCCATTGTATATTTTAGTAAACTGTTTAGTACTGCAGGTTCATCTGAAATTTTCTCAAAATTTTCTTTAATCGTGTAAATTAATAGTACGTTATATTGCTACTTCCTACATAACCCTACATTTGAAGAACCGCCAAAACAACTGAACATTTTGATAGTCGCTGAAATTAATTTTGACAATTTAAGAGGGTGGCGTAAAAAAACGGCGTCAAAGAAGGCCGGGGAACGACAATCGATGATAATTTTGGCGAGGTCAGTCTCTAGACGTCATTTTCAAAATTGACATAAAACTTCTTCAAAATTAACACTATTCATAGAAAGATTGAAAAAGGACTGTAAATGACATCTAGTGCTTGACCTCGTTAAAATTATCATCGATTGTCATTCCCCAGCTGCCTTGACGCCTTTTTTTTTTATCATACAGTACTATCAGTTAAAAAAATTATATTTAAGGTACACCTTGCATTCCTGTATAATTTAATAAAAAAAATTAAGGTATTCTCTCTTACCACCTGAAATATTATACCTGCTGTCCGAAAGTCATCGCGATGACTTCTTTCCGTCACCTTTTTTTTGTTGTTTTCAAACGTTTTGATGTTCGATTTCGTTTTTGCGATGGGAAATTTTTGGTCTACGTCTATCGAGGTATGCACGCACACTATTTTACTCGCACCGAATAGCTAAATAACTGTTGCCTGGGTAACTCATAGAGAAATTCTTCAGCTAGAAACGATGCGGACGCCTCGTCCAAACAGGCCCAGGTGCTGTGGAGCGCGTGCCAGTCCCTGCTGAGGGCCGTCAGGGCGGGATGCCCGGGTATACCGTGGAAGGACCAGATCAGGCCCTTGGAGCCGGAGATCAATGCTGTTGTGAGAGCCGCAGGTTAGTTTAAGAAAAAATGATTTTAACGGACATAAAACCGTATTTTTAGTAGAAAATACCGTCATCCGGCGGCATGATACAGTTATATCTGTAATTGCTCCGGTGGAAAAAATAATACACAAAACTTGGTAAAATAAGGGCGGTATTTTTGTTTTGAAAGTATACCGCTGAAGGGCGGTATTTTATATATTTAGCAACAACCGCTGTAGTTGAAAGAGTTACCCGTTGTTCGGCGGTATTTTTCCTTGAATTGCCTATACCGCCGGCCCGGCGGCGGTATATAATGCAGTCAGTTTGTTTTTTATTCTCTTGAAATTTATTTGATAAGCATTTATTAAAATTGTAATTATTAATATACAGTTTTGGAATATAAAAAATACCGCCATCCAGCGGCATGATACTCTTACATCTGTTATTGCACCAGTGGAAAATTGAATTAATTTGATAAATTAAAAAATAACACCAAAATTTGGTAAAATAAAGGGCGGTATTTCTGTTTTTTAAAAAAGTATACCGCTGAATGGCTTTTATATATTTTTAGCAACAACCGCTGTACTTGAAAAGAGGGATACCCCCGTTGGTTGGCGGTATTTTTTCCTTGAATTGTCTATACCGCCGGCGGTATATAATTTAGTCAGTTTGTTTTTTATTCTCTTTAAAATTTATTTTTAAGCATTTATTAAAACTGATTATTACTTTGCTGTTTGGAATTTAAAAATAACGTCATCGGGCGGTATGATACTGTTATATCTATAATTGCCCCGGTGAAAATAACGCATTTGGTAAAATAAGGGCGGTATTTCTGTTATTTAAAAAAGTATACCGCTGATCGGCGGTATTTCGTAGAAATGTGTACCGGCGGTAACTTATTTTTATTTTCTTGAAATTTATTTGGAACATTTATAAATTTGGCGGCATGATACTGTTATATCTGTAATTGCCCCGGTGGATAATTGAATTAATTTGTCGCTAACGGTAGGAAAAAATAACTGGTGAGTGATTGTCTATACCGCCGGCGGTATATAATTTAGTCAGTTTCTTTTTTTATTCTCTTGAAATTTATTTTTAAGCCATTTATTAAAATTGTAATTATTAATATGTATGTAGTTTTGGAATACAAAAATACCGTCATCCGGCGGCATGATACTGTTATATCTGTAATTGCCCCGGTGGAAAACTGAATTAATTTGTCGCTAACGGCGCAAAAAATAACACACGGAATTTGGTAAAATAAGGGAGGTGTTTTTATTTATTAAAGTATATTTTTTTTTTTTTTATTTTTTTATCTATTCTGTAACCGCCGTACTAGAAAAATTTGCTTATTTTCGGCGGTATTTTTCGTAAAATGTTTATACCGCCGGCGGTAAATTAGTCAGTTTGTTTTTTATTCTCTTGGGAATTTTAAGCATTTATTATTATTATTAATATGCAGTTTTGGAATACAAAAAAATACCGTCATCCGGCGGCATGATACTGTTATATCTGTAATTGCCCCGGTGGAAAACCGAATTATTTTGTCGCTAACGGCGGAAAAAATAACACGAAAAAAAAAACAAAAAAAAAAAAAATATTTTTTATTTATTAAAAAGTTTTTTTTTTTTATAATTACTTTTTTATATTGCCAAAAACCGCCGTACTAGAAGAATTTGCTTTCGGCGGTATTTTTTTCCGTAAACTGTTGCCACCGCCGGCGATAAATTAGTCAGTTTGTTTTTATTCTCTTGAAATTTATTTTAAGCATTTATTAAAATTGTAATTATTAATATGCACTTTTGGAATATAAAAAAATACCGTCATTCGGCGGCATGATACTGTTATATTTGTAATTGACCCGGTGGAAAACTGAATTAATTTGTCGCTAACGGCGTAAAAAATAACACACGAAATTTGGTAAAAATAATGGCATTTTTTATTTATTAAAAGTATACCGCGAAGGTGAGCGTATTCTTTGTATATTTAGCAACAACCGCCGTACTAGAAGAATTTGCTTCGTTTTTCGGCGGCATTTTTTTCGTCAGTCTATATCGCCGGCGGTAATTTAGTCAGTTATCAGTTTTTAATTCTTTTTTGAAATTTATGTTTGAAAGCGTTTATCAAATCTGTAATTATTAATGTGCAGTTTTGGGATATGAAATGGTCTTTTTCAGCTGAAAACGATGAATTGGTTTGTGTGGTTATCGAAGGCATTCCAAAGGAGGCTAAAGAGAGAGGTGTATATCCTGAGGACGCGCTTAGAGAGAGGTTCTTAAAGGTGGAGAAGGTTGCAAGGACGGTTGACTTAATTCCTGCAGAAGGTATGTATTTTATCTTGTCGTTAGGTATGCAACTGTCATTACACAGAGTCCTAATGATATTCACTCTCTGTATTTGTTTGTCTATTTATTTGAAGCCTGAGCAGCTGTGTTCATCACTTGCATATTTTCTTTCAATCAAAATATTTTAGAAAACAAAAATAAATTAATTATAAATAAATAAACAGTTATTATTTACATCAACAAAACTCACCTTCTTAACAGCATTTAAGGGACATAAAGAGCCATTATTATTGCTTTCTCGTTCAAAATATTCTAATAAGGTTGCGATGAGTTTTTTGCAACGGCTATTAAGCTATATTGTATACTTCGCATTAATGTTCATTTGTGCGAAATTTCATACAAACTTTCATTTCTCATTTTACTTCCAACAGCAACTAATAACTTGTTTTCAGGTGCCGCCTTACCTGTTCATATTTTATCCTACATTCAGTCATTATTACTAATAAAAGCCGCCAGTCCCATACCTAGAGCTGAGCTAAACGATGAAAAAATCGATTTTAGTAAACTATCGACAAATGACATTTTACAAAGAGCAAGGTAAGCGTAAAGATAATAAGTCCCTTGTTATAAAACTAGAAAGGGACTGCAGATAGTCCCTTCTTACATAATAAGAAACACCCTGATTGTAGAATACAGGGTGTTTCAAACCACTAATTTTATACAGGGTGTACATACAATAGTGCGTGGGGTATGTAGAGCTCTAGAATAAAAAAAATTAGGGTTTGTGTGCTACCCAACCCCAAAGTATGTATTAGGATGTATTTCAAAGAATATTTTGAAGTTTACAGGGTGGTTCAAAAAAATTTGAGTGGATCAGGATGATTCTTTTTAAAATATTATAATCTATGCTAATATTATAGTATAAAGGAAACTAGTAGCTTTACTCCTTGTCAAATCCTTTGTTCTTTTTTTGCCACTTTATATGACGTTGTTCTCGCGTCCCGTGACCCCTGACGTAGCTGTATAGTCGTGGTCTATTAACTAGGCAAAGTATAGTCGTGGCTCACTTGTTCACAGATAACATATTTAAGAAAATATGAGTTTGAAAAATAATATTTAATTAATTACATAATATCTCAACTTCTAAAATAAACAAATATATTAAATGTTTATTTGACAATTACTATCAGCTTGCCGATTTACATCCGATGGAAATCTAAAAAACTCAAAGAACAATTTTTTGAATTATTACTACCATTAATAACGCTTTACAGTAAGGCTCTACATTTTGTCAATCCGTCTCTGTGCTGGGACGCAACGTTCGAACCTCGCAGCTCGACGGACGGAATTCAACTGAAACGTCTTGCAATCTGCCGATATTCGACAGATTGTAAAAACTAACAGAAAATATAATAGTTCATAATAAAATAAAATAAAAATTGATCATCGAGTAAAAACTTGCTTGAAAACAGAATATTTTCACATTTCGTGTAAGGTAACAATTCTTCTGTATCTGAAAATCTTCTGATGGGAAGAAATGCGGAAGAAATATATAATGACATATTTTTATATTATTATCCATTTCAGAGATTTTTTAACTTTTTTTGATTTAAAACAAATTTAATTTTCTGTAGATAACTGGATTCGGCATAAAATTTTGCATATAATACACTGTCTTTATTTGAAGCACACTGCGGTGTTGCCATTCTATTTTTATTTACTAAAACATTGGTTAAAAACATTATATACGAAAAGTGGTAAAAAACTAGAGTGAATATAACTTTATTAATTACTTAGCTATGTTTTCTTAAACATGAAGGATACCAGAATAAATTCGTGTTGAAAAATTTACTTTACCGTATACAGGGGTATTTTTATGGCGTCACCAAAATCGTAATATTTAAAAATGTATCTCATTTTTTTTAAATGCAACACCTTGTATATTATTTTCTTTTTTTTTTTTTTTTTTTTTGAACATTTTTGTATTTAAGTGTTTTTCCAAACTAACTTTACCATAACTTTTTTGTGACACTCTGTATATAACAAAATATTTTAGGATACGCCCCTTTATAAACCTTGAAATACGAATAAAACTTTTTTCACATCTTCGACAACGACGACGATATTGGACTTTGTCGCACTTAACTAGGTCCACCCTGTATATTTACGGTGGTTTAAGGCTAGGTGTAGCACTTTTCTACCCTCACATATAAACTCAACATTTTGTCTATAATATTTTTGGAATATTGTTATATTACGACCACATAAAATAAAAAAAAAACATAAAAATACAGTACACTAAATTTATAATATTATGCTATTATGAAATTCTTTCAATTAAAAATATGAATAATTTGCGGAGACTTTAGATATACAAAATATTTACTCTAAAATTGTTCAAAAACCAATTTATATATAAATTATCTCGTAAATTATTATTGGAATAAAAATACTAAAAAAAAAAAAAAAAAAAAAATATTTTCATATACGCATATTAGAGACAACCTGTATATCTAAGAAAAAATTAAAATCTGCCACATGCTAAAAATAATATTTAATTAAGTACATAATATCTCAGCTTCTAAAATAAACAAATATAATTAAATGTTTATTGACAATTATACTATCGATTTGCCGATTTACATCGATGGAAATCTAAAATTTTCAATTCATCCGCAGCTCGACGGACGGAATTCAACTGAAACGTCTTGCAATCTGCCGATATTCGACAGATTGCAAAAACAGGCAGAAAATATTTGCGAGAGTGCAACTACTCTTTTCCTTGCTAATATATAAATCCTTAAGTGACTGACTCACTGATTAATCACGATCCTGCTCGAGCCACTCAGCAAAACAAATTTTGGCATACAGGTTGATTCTAGGGTGTAGAGGTTCGATAAGAAGGATTTTTCGAAATTCCAGTTCAAAGGGGTGAAACCACCCTCAAATATTAGGTATTTTTTATTTTAAAACCATTGAGTTTTTCGGAAAAATTCTTGAACACGTATATTTTATTTTGTTGTTTTACATATTTTACTCCATCTAATAAAAATAATATACAGGGTATTCCATTTTAAAATACAAAGAAAATGATTCTATATTTTACAATGTTTGGCATAAATTTGAACACTCTGTATGGTTTAAGATTATTTACAGCAAGTAATTACAGACCAACTATATTAAACACCTAATGTAGTTTTTGATTTCAGGTTATTTCTTTTATTTTTTAATATTATTTTTTTAAGAAGGCTGGAAAATATATATATTTATTTATTTCTTTATTAATATCCAAATTAAAAAATTATCCAAACCAAACCAAGCCACCCTGTAGAAGTTAAAATATTTTTCCAGATATAATCTAATACATATTTTAGGTTTGCACTTATACAAAATTAATAAAAAAAAGTTTTTTATTTATTATAGAGCTACACACATGCCCGACGCACCGTTGCCGAATTGTGTATATTTTCCTTTTTTCTCAGGTATTGGCTGGACAGAGGTGACTTTGCCCAGGCCCTCAAATACATGAACCTCCTCAAAGGTGCGCCGAGGTGCGTGGCCAGACAATGGATGAACGAAACGAGGATATTGCTGGAAACTCAGCAGGCGGCAAACACCCTAATGGCGCACGCGGCCTCCAGCGGACTGATGTATTTATAAACGAACCTAACCTCACTTTAGTTTGGAACATAATTTAATTTTGTTGTACCTATGTCTACAGCGGAAACTGACGAGCAACGTGGCTAATTTATATCGTAATTCTTTAAACAGATCAATGATTTCCAATTATTACTCAGATATCAGATGAAAAGGATAAAAACAAATAAGTAACTCTGGACATGGATTTTTTCTGTCAAATGTTTCTTGTCATTGTTTCAACATCGTTTTATCTGGTTGTATGGTGTTTCTTCTGTATCAAGGAGTTTTAGATCAAGTTTTCTACTTAAATTTGAAAGATACAGTTGAACTTGTAAGAATATATTTTGTTTTTAATAAACACGTCTGTTGATTTTAATGTGTGTTTTTTACATATGGTTGGCAGGTTACTACACACACCGGAAAAGCCTAGAGATATTACAATTTTATCCAGCAATCGTCAGTAATTTTATTATTTGCATTTCTGATATAATATAATTAAAATAAACAAATAGTTTACAGGACGTATTGGAAATAAAAATGAAATTTACCGAATTTTTTCAAATTTACCTTGATTTTATTGAACTCAAAAAACACACATTTTTTTTATTCTAAATTGTGATTAAAAAATATAAAACCATTACATAATTAAGGGTATGGCCTCCTCTGCTGTTCATTACAGCCCTACATCGTCTCTCCATGCTCCTGATCAGGTTGTCGATCTCTTCTTGAGGTACAGTCTGCCACGCTGCATTCACGGCCGAACCAGATCCCTACGAGTTTCACGAGGCATGCCCATTCTCAAAATTCTTCTTTGGACCGCGTCATACGTGCTCGATGGGGTTGAGGTCAGGAGATTGTGCCGGCCAGGGTAAGATGTTTAATTGATGAGCATTGGTAAACTCACTTACCACTCTGGCTGTATGAGGCCGTGCATTGTCATGCATGAGAATGAAGTTTCTCCCAAAATCATTGGCATATGGTAACACGACAGGCTCAAGAATTAAATCACGATATGTGATTCCTGTTAGAAACCTTTAAAGAAAAACGAGATAGGTTTTTCGGCCTAACTGGACTCCTCCCCAGACCATAACTGTTCCACCTTGATAAGGGTGCACTTCCTGAACATGATCCAACCGAATAAGATTTCCCGGTTCTCTCCATACCCTAAGCCTTCTCGAATCCGGATGAATTCCGAAGCGTGAGTCATCCGTGAAGAGAACATTGGCCCATTGTTCATTCGACCACTGAACATGATCTTGAGCCCACAAATATCGTACCTCTCGATTTCCGCTCGTTAAGGGTTGAGCTCTCCAGGGGCGTCTGCTTTTTAAGTTGACCTCTCTTAATCTATTGCGAACAGTGTCAGGACTACGGTTACATTATGTGTTTCCTGGAGAATTAAACTAAGCTCTGGTGCTGTAAGAGTCGGTCGGCGTCGAGCATTTAATTGTAAAATATGATCTTGCTGAGGGGTAGTAATGCGATGTCGCCATGTGTGCCTTTCAGCAACGTCACCACTTTCACGGTAGCGTGTACTTAATCGCGATATTACACTTTGCCTTGTATTTAATGCTCTAGCGATTTGGCGCATTCCAGCTTCGAGCATACCCATGGCCCTAAGCATTTCGTCTCTGTTAAGATGTCTACGCTCCATAATGTCGTTTAATACTAAACAGAGTTATTTGAATGAGTTCTGGCCAATTATCATAAAAACATAGCCCAGTACAGATTAAATTCGAGCAATTAATGCTAGGTGCTTTTTATACATTTGACAAAAAATGCACAAACACTTTTGCAAATATCCGAAATTTAGAAGTAGCTAGTGTGACTACTTCGTTTCAATCGAAGTAGAAAGAATCGGCCTACAAATATGTGGTTGTTTATTCAAAACATTTATTTTTAACTTTAATAAAATGATATCCCTAGATTCCCTAGTCAGATATGTCGACAATCATGTCGAAAATGTCAAGTATGTGGACAATGTCATATTGAGAATATCAATAATGCCATGTCGAGTATGTGGACAATATCATGTTAAGAATGTAGGGTATGTCCAAGAACGGTAAACTAATAGGATTGCTCATCCTCATAAGACGTACGTTCGCCTCTTCCCGCGCTTCAGCAGACAGTTGTGACGTCATTGTAGTCCTTGTCATGATAGTCTGTATTATTGGTTGCCTATAGTAAACGTATAAAAATAACAGCTGAGAAATTTTGAGTTAATTATTTTGTCGATTTTAAATGTGAAAAAGGTGTTTTAAAGTTTTTAGAGTTATAGAATATATAAATACGTTCATTTTGTGTTGTAGATTGTGATAAAGTGCGAAGATATTGTTTATTAATTATTTTAAAGCAAAATATGGAAGTACTCTAAAAAGAATGCCTGCAGAAGGTGATGCTGGGAACTGCTGTTCTTAAAAATGCATTATCCGAGTATTTAATACGATTTATACAGTTAATTTTCTATATTGCATACATATAATGTGTTTAAATAAATAAATTAAATAATGAATGTTTTGCATACGGCAACCAATAATACACACACTGTCATGACAAGGACTACAATAACGTCACAAAACGAGGAGTTTTCGCATGCACCTGGGCACAGGGTTCGGAAAACTACATGTTACTTTTAAAAACTACATAAACTACATTACATGTAGTTAATGTAGTTTATGTAGAGGGTGTAGTTTATGTAACCTATGTATGTAACTTCAAAGGTCAAAGGTTTGAGGTGAGGTTATAATAAGTTAAAGCTTTAAAAACACATAATGTATTTAAGAAAACAGAAGAAATATCGCTTTAAATATAATATTTACATCATATTATCTCTATTACACATCATACAAAGGAAAATTATTCATAATATCAATACATAGTTTATTAATGTAGTTTTCATGTAGTTAATGAACGGGAAAAGACGTAGTTTTTGAAGAAAAACTACACGTAGTTAATCAGGTAAATTACGTCTTAGTTAACTACTTCCGAACCCTGCCTGGGCAGACACTTTCGGCTGAACGAGCAGTCCTATTAGGTTAACTGTTCTCGGGGTATGTCGACAATATTATGTCGAGAAAGTCGACAGGATCAAGGTTTTCCATTTTGTTTTCGTTTTGTTTGCATTTTGTTGCTGATTTGCTGCATTTGTTGCATCTTGGTGAACATCCCAAGGCGCAACTTTGTCCCAATTTTACCATCTTCGTATTTTTTACGGTTTCTGAGATACCAATGCTCGTACCTCGAATTTGTAGCACCCTGTATAGGCGTTTACGAAAAATGTTACATTTTACTACAGTTTTGATACCGTATGATTGAATAAAAACGGCGTTAGCGATGGCTATGAAAAATGACAATCGATGACATTTCCCTTATAAATTTACATATAAAATGACAGCGAGCCTCATTTCATAGCCATTGCTGACGCCGTTTTTATTCGATCATACGGTAGATTATATTTAGCTTGGATATATTATCTTTATTTCAGTAGTATACGTGAAGTTTTTAAAAGAGTTTATTTCTTTCTACATACATTTTCTTATAAACGTAAAAACTGGCAACCCTGTATGTCGCTTTTTATTTTGTCTCTCTGTCTGTCGACCGGTTAATTTTTTCGATCTTGTGTCGATCATGCTTAGGGGTGAAATTTAATAAGCATTTGTTAGGATTTAGGAATTTAGGATCAGGTGTATTCTTAGTTATCAGGCTTATAGATCAGGTGTATTCTTATTTTGTCAAGACCACAACATGACAATTACAAGCACTCTATTTAAGTTGCCTAAAAGAAGATTATATACCTGGAGATCCCCTCAAGACAGTGGCATCAGAATAGTTCGAAACCAGATAGATTTTTCCAGGCGCAGATATTAATTCCGATCATAATCCTGTTGTTGCAAATATAAGACTAAAATTAAAATTTACTGGAAAAAAACATTCATATAAAAAAATAGACATCAAGATGTTGAAAAACGAAGACGTAAAAAACAGAGTAGCCCAAGAAGTTAATGATGCTTTGAGAAACAGCGAAGAAGATATAAACTCTACCTGGAACGCATTAAAAACACCCTTAGTTAAAGCCACACAAACACATTTAACTGGCCTAAAAACAAAGAAGAAACAATGGACGAAATTTTCCAACTTATGGACCAGCGCAGAGAACACAAAGGTCGAGATGCTATAGCGTATAAACGTTGCAATAAGGAAATTAATAAAGCAATAATCACAGCTAAAGAAAAGTGGATTTCAGAGAAGTGCGTGGAATTAGAGGACTTACAAAAGAAACACGACTCATTTACATTACACAAAAAAATAAAAGAATTAACTGGACCAGCACAACGTTTTTGTCCTCTAACAATTATTAATTCAGATGGTACACTGTGTTCAACCGTACAAGAAAAAATACAAGTATGGGAACAACACATGAAAGAACTTTATAATGACTATAGAGAAGAACCAACAGTAAGACCAACGGTTGATCAGGGACTAGAAATTCTCAATAGTGAAGTATTGCAGGCAATTAAACAACTTAAAAACAACAAAAGTCCAGGCCCTGACAATATATATCCAGAAATACTTAAATTAATATCAGAAGAGAACGTAGATATACTGACTAGGCTTTTTAACAAGATCTATGATAGAGGAAAAGTACCTGATGACTGGCTCCACTCAACTTTTGTATCGCTTCCGAAAAAACCATCAGCTCGACATCTCAGTGACTACAGACTTATTAGTTTAATGAGTCACGCACTGAAAGTGTTACTTAAAATAATACATAACAGAATTTATAAGAAGTGTGAGCAAGAAAGCGGCATGAACAGTTTGGGTTTAAGAGTGGATTGGAAACACGAGAGGCCTTATTCTGTTTACAATTGATGGCGCAGAAAGTGTACAGACCAACAAAAATCAATGTATGTGTGTTTCGTAGATTTCGAAAAAGCATTCGATAGAGTCAAACATACGAGACTTATCGAAATGTTGTATGAGTTGGGAGTTGAAAGCAAAGATGTAACACTTCTGAAAAAAATATATATTGGCAACAAACAGCCCACATGAAAATCGAAAATGACAATTCCAATCCAGTCAATATACAGAGATGAGTAAGACAGGGATGTGTGCTGTCTCCTTCGTTATTTAATGTTTATTCTGAGGCGATTTTTCGGGAAGCTTTCTCATCAACAGATTGCGGTATTAAAGTCAACGGCGAAGTCATTAACAACATTAGATTTGCCGATGATACAGTTCTTATTGCCGATTCTGATACTGGTCTCCAGAGTTTAGTGGAACGACTTGAAGGCTCCTGTAAGAAATACGGGATGAAGATCAATTCTCTTAAAACTAAGGTCATAATATTTGGAAGAACCAAAATGTACCAATTCCTATTAAAATAGAGGGCAATACCTTAGAACAGGTCTACAAGTTCAAATATTTGGGGTCTGGGATAGTTAACACCTTAACAACGACGTGGAAATAAAAACCAGAATAGAACAAGCGAGAAATGCATTTTTAAAAATGAAGAACGTCTTCCAGAACCCCAGATTGGACCTAGAGTTGAGAACTAGGCTCGTTAAGTGTTATGTTTGGTCAATCCTATTATACGGAGCAGAAACATGGACACTGAAAGTTCAAGAGATGAATCGTTCGAAACATGGATATATCGAAGAATGCTTAAAATTCCATGGACAGCCCATATCACAAATACCGAAGTCTACAACAGAATAGGCAGAGAGAGAGAGAGAATTGCTCAATATAATAAAAATAAGAAAAACATCATACTTAGGGCATATATTGAGAAATGAAAAATACCATGTCTTACAATTGGTAGTTAAGGGTAAGATTGAAGGAAAGAGAGGTCTCGGCAGGAAGAAACTATCTTGGTTGAGAAACATTAGAAACTGGGCTCACCTAACTTTTGAAGAACTTATAAGGAAAGCCGAGAATCGTGAAGATTTTGCCAATGTGATCGCCAACCTCCACGAAAGAGACGGCACGTGAAGAAGAAGAAGTATTCTTAGTTGCCTAACTACCGGCGCCATAACTAAGTATTAATCGATTTTTTATATCCCCCTGTATTTTAAATGTTTTTTGTTTAATATACTATTTGAAAACCCCTCGTACACAAAACAAATTATATCACGAGAAACATAATAATTTTAACAATACTAAAACTAGCTTTGCAAATATTTAATAACATTGACCTCACATTGAGCAGTTATTACTTTATTATTTAAGACACGCAGGTACAAATACCAGTTTGCTTTTCTCAGAAATCCCACAAATTTCTACTTTCTATAAATCCTCTCTAGCTCTAGACGCGACATTTTATCCTCTTATCAAGAAAAAATATCTTACTTTACACAGAGATAAAAATAAAACACTTTTAAATATTTTTTTTCTTAAGTGTAATTACACATTACAACATTGCAATTAAGATTTGTTTGTTTATCCTTGCTAAAACTATATAATGAGCTCACAGATACCCATAACCTGTACCAGAGTGTTTAGTAGTGTTGTAAAAGTGATTAGAACGGATTCAATAAGGAGTTTTAGCGTTTCAACAAGGAAAAACATGAGATACGTTCAGTACAGGTTAAAAACTGGAGGACAACAGCATTTGGGGGCCCAAATAGCACCAGGAGGTGATATTATCGATATCAGTTCCGTGGATTCGACTATACCTAACAATTTGGTGGATTTTTTGAAGGCTGGAGAGTCTACGTATGCTAAATCAAAGAGGTAAAAGCTATCATTTTATTTTTATTGATATTACATCTAAATAATTTAAAAATAAATAATAAATTTGCATGTTATTGAAAAATCACATGGTTAGGTTTAGGGATGGCGAGAATATATCGATATAATTAGGTATCGATATTTTGCAGTATGCAACCAGTAAAACTGCATTTTTTTAGAAAAAGTACACGGATCCAAACAAAATTAAATAAACCTTTCTCGATTTGAATCGATCAATTTCTACTGTATCGTGTTAACTACTGGTTAAAATGCTTTTACAGTGTTACGCCTAACTTACTTGTGACCGTTTATACAAATTTTAGGTCCAGTTACTGTTTTCTGTGATGTACAAATGAACTTTATGGGTTTAAGAACAAAATTCCTACTATTCTTTACACTATGCATTCTGCAATATAGGTTTTGTGTCTTTTTAAGATACTCTACTAAGAATGATTTGTTTTCACAATTCTTCAGTTTATCATATTTGGCGTTGAAGCTTTTGACAGTGACAGTTACAAGTAGCTCTTTACTCTTTATTTGAAGTTTTCCGTCAAATATTAAAACTACAATATAAAAAAGAGTTTTAAATCCTTACAAAAATTGTTTTTGTCTGTATATTTATTATGATAAGTACATAACAACTACAATATAAGGATTTAATGTATTTATACTGTACCGTTATAAAGTTTTTATGTGCTGGGAATATTCCAAGTTATAACAAAGTCACAATTCATATTTTAGCAGTAAAATTTTGCAATATAAATTGCTGAAATAAATACTATAATCTCGGATTTTATGAATAATAAACTAAACAATATATTTTTACTTTATTTACAGTTGTATGAGATGAAATAATGTAATATATCGATAAATTTCGAATTTCGCAGGAATATGTTGAAAATCAAGCAACAGCAACGTACAGAGAGTAGTTAGAGTGAGATAAAATAATCTGAACCACCCTAGGCTAGAAAAGGAACGATATACTCCAAAATTTATTGATTTTTAAATTAGGGACTTGTTGCACTGCATTTCTAAATAATTTACAACGTAAATTAATGGTTTATTTGTTTTTTATTAAGATTTATGACAGATAAATGGAATTACCTTAAAAGCCCCGTTCTCAGAACTGCGTCGTGTCGACAGCGACACTGACTGACACTTCAAACGACCAATGGGAGCTGTACTAAATTTAAAATTGACAGCTGTTTGAATTTTGTACAAATCTGATTGGTTCTTTTGTCGTGTCGCTGGCGACAGTCGCAGTTCTGAGAACGGGGCTTAAAGCCCCGTTCTCAGAACGACGTCGTGTCGCGGGCGACACAGTTTGACATTTCAAACAACCAATGAGAACTGTACTAAATTTAAAATTGACAGTTGTTTGAATTTTGTACAAATCTCATTGGTGCTTTTGAAGTGTCGCTTGCGACAGTCGCAGTTCTGAGAACGGGGGACTTAATTTACAATGTTTACTTAAAAAATTTCTTTTATGAAAATGTAAATTTAATTGTGAAACGCTTTTAAGCTTTTTTACGTGGATGCTATTATACAGGGCGAGTCTTAAATAAGTGCAAATATTTTCAGGGCTGGTAGATCTCGATAAATGAAACATATTTTCTCTTTACCAAGTTTTTCAAATAACGCCAAAATGACTGAGATATTTTACTTTGAAATTTAAAAAAAAAAGATTTTTTGCATACATTTTGAGAATCACTGGATCTTTTCTGTGTTTTCTTTCTTGTAAATTTAATCTACTAACTATGTTTGAAAAAAGTTCCAATTTTTTTCAAAAAATTGCAAATTTTCAAAGAAGTGTTTATTATAGTCGTGTTTCTGGGGTCGAAATATACCAACGCTAAAATATTTGCATTAATTTAAGACTTACCCTGTATAATGACGTGCTAATATTTAAGGTGTTGATGCTATTCTAAGAAAAAACTTTATATGAATGTATGTATATACAGAGGATGGTAACATTTTCAAAAAAGACACTTTTTTTTCGTAATAACTCTGATATTATTATACCGTATGATCGAAAAAAAATCAGCGTCCAATTGGCTTGAAAATAAACATCATTCCACATATACAATTTTAAATATAAAATGACAGCGATCTTCATTTGAAAATCGTTATTTCCAAGTCAACTGGACGACGTTTTTTCGATAATACGGTATTAGAAAGTATCATTATACAACAACCTGTACAATTTTAATGACAAAATTAAAATTTATGGTTTTATAACGAAAATTTATGTTTTCTAGGATATTAGGTGAAAGCAAATCGGTGACAGCACTGTCAAATGCTGTCTTGCTGCCACCTATTACCAACCCTGATAAAGTAGCATGTGTAGGACTGAACTACTCTGGACATTGTGATGAACAGAATATTCCATACCCTACAGAGCCGATGTTCTTTAATAAATTCCCTTCAGTCATCGTAGGACCTAACGATAACGTAGTTTTACCTTCAATAACCAACGTAAGTAATACTAGGTCACCTAGTAAAAATACAGGGTGGTCCGAACTGTATTCTGGAAACTTCGGCAGTATATTTTACAGATAAAAATAAGTAAAAAAGTTCGTATAAATGTATGTCCAAAAATGCTTAGTTTCGGAGATACAGGGCGTAGAAATTTCGTTTTTACTTCGATTTTTTCCAAATAATTTCTGAAGTAACGTCAATATTTGGATAAAAATTGGTGTCCGGAAGTTTTTTGACATGAGAAATTTGATTTTGATGTCAATATGTTTCCTACTTGTAGAGGGCACCACCTATAGTACACGCCACGAATGTTTGGGAGTGATTCATCGGTCGCTACCACGTGAACTAATCTGTTCAAGGTCACATAAAACTTAATTCCAGTGCCGTGGTGTTTCAAGTCATATAATAATCAATATATAATCTGTTGTTTATGTTTTTGTGCATGAAATTTTAAATTTATTATTATTGATGAATACTATAAAAATATTTATTTAGTCTGTAGATTGGGAAGTCGAACTTGCTGTAGTCATTGGCAGAACTGCCAAAGCCATCAGAGAGGACCAAGCTCAAGACTACATATTCGGATACACGGTGGCCCAAGATATTAGTGCTAGGGACTGGCAGAAGAAAAGGAACCACGGGCAGTTTTTGCTGGGCAAAACTATGGATACTTTCTGCCCTCTAGGTCCTGCAGTCGTCACCAAATCCAAGGTGGATCCTAAGAATTTAGCTATAAAGAGTTGGGTGAATGGTGTGTTGAAACAGAACGCTAATACATCAGAATTGATCTTTAAAATCGATTTTCTGGTCTCGTATTTATCACAGTAAGTTTATTTTGATTCAAAACTAATATACAGTTTACTAAAAATTGTATTAATCAATAATAAATATTTAAAAAGTAAAAATAAATATGTAAAAATTAAAAAAAAACGATTAAAAAAAGTCGCCTTGACTAGGATTCGAACCTGCCTTACTACGGCTCCAACGTCATAGCAGCGTAAAGTCCTAACGCTTTAACCACGCGGCCACCGAGGACTTGATTCTATGTAAAATTCTTACTTAAAAGATAATGTTTAGTGAAAGTACTTTTTTATTTATAAACATTTATTTAATTCTGTTTTTAGTATTTGTTCTTATAGCGGCAACATAGATATATTATCTGTAAAAATTTCAACTGTCTAGCTATAACGGTTCATATGATAGAGCTTTGTGACAGACGGATGGACGGACAGCGAAGTCTTTAGTAATAGGAGGGTTACCGTTTTTACCCTTTGGGTACGGAACCCTAAAAACAAACCGAAGATGCTACCCTCTACACTCTACACTATATCGTTTGAATAAAAATGGTATTTATGCCTGGTCGACGGAAAGAGGACTCTAGGGTGGGAATCCTTGACAGTTCTGTTTGACGATTCATTTGACACATTTGAATTTGATTTGAAATTTTGTGGATTTGTCAGTCTTAGTAAATATAGAAGGAAATTGTAGTAGAACTTAAATTAACAGTGACACTATTGCGATTTATCGAAAAAGACTGTAAAATAGTTGGTTGTGTAGCGTGCGGTAGATCTCGGTCAAAAATCGAGGGAAATAATAGTCTAAGAGAGCAACGTTTTCGAGAAAGTATTTTAAGACGTCTGGCTCTTTGATATATCTTTCACTATGCTCTGTGGAACAGCATGCGGCCCGTCTGGCTGCCGATACCCGTTGCGTTCACTACTGCGCATCGGAAGAAGATCCTATATTGTTTATTAATTTAGTCCTATTAATTCTAGTATTGAATATAAATCGAACATGTCTCTATAGCGCAGTGCGTAGAGTTTCCGACCACGAACCGATGATTCAGAGTTCGAATGCGGGTCAGGTTAAATACTTTTTTATTTTATTTTCGTTTATATTCTGATAGTAAAGTATTAAATATTTGTTTTTTTAATTACCAGAATTTTTTAATACTTTACTATCAGAATATAAACGAAAATAAAATAAAAAAGTATTTAACCTGACCCGCATTCGAACTCTGAATCATCGGTTCGTGGTCGGAAACTCTACGCACTGCGCTATGGAGACATGTTCGATTTATATTCAATACTAGAATTTAAAGGACTAATAAAAATATAGGATCTTCTCTCAATGCGCAGTAGGGAACGCAACGTTTACGGGCAGCTAGACGGGCCGCATGCTGTTCTAGAGAGCATAGTAAAAGATATACCAAAGAGCTAGACGTCTTAAAATACTTGTTTTTCCGGCGTTGCTAGCTCTCGTACTATAATGGAGTAACTTTTCGCTAGTAAGTGACTATATAATACACATACGTGTAGTAAACCGATCATTTGTGAAATTTACTTAAAATTAACTAATTATATATTTTTTCTTGCATTTTTGCTTTTATGTACTTGTCAAAGATTATATAGATATCAAAGAATTTAGATACGTCAATTTGACTTACTTGCTTCAGTAGCGTATCGTATGTTTGTATTAATAAATAATTATTATAACTTATCTATTTTTATTAAAATTGTATATTTTTATGACAATTTTAATAACTACCAACATTTATTGACAACGTAAAATAAAACAACAAATTATTGAGTCTACCCTACATCATATTTTTACAAGTTTTGAATAAAATTAGAACGGCACTGATAAACCGAAATTTAAGTCGGCCCTTTTAGGACCCCATCGAGGTCGATCTGAGATTTTTAAAATGCTTTTTCCTTAATCTTTTTATTCAAAGGCTATATCTTTTTTTTCAGAATAGTGACACTATATCCAGGTGACATTATATTGACTGGCACGCCCTCTGGTGTTGGGATGCACAGAAATCCTCCAGAATTTCTTAAAAGCGGTGACGTCCTAGAGAGTGAAATTGAAGGAATTGGCAAACTAAGAAACGAAATTGTTTAATGAAATAAATGTATTTTCTTTTTATTTTAACCAGCCAGAAAGCAATATGTTGATGTAAGAAAAATAATACGCATTTAACTGTATTTTATATTTTGTATTGAATTTTATTTTCTTTTATTTGTATGATACCGTGTATTGTGTACAATAAATTTATATAATTTAACTCAAAATTGACTTATTTCTGTTCATACCGGGTGTTGCATCGTTGAGCGGGACATAGGAAATCCCATGTAAATTTTAATGGGGTTAATTATTGGCTTCCCTAATTATTTTAGAGAATAATTCTATTTAGGTTTATTGAAGAACACTAAAACCCACAT